GATTGGATGGGCTTTTTAGTGGCCCTGTATAATGATTGGTGGGAGGAAAGGATGGGGGGGGGGGGGGGCCTTAAAGGAACTAAGCCCTAATAGGCTGGTGCCTTTGACGGAGAGTCATTTAATAATTGTAAGCAACAGAAAACTATTCTAAGCAGATCCCTGTGTGAATTCCGGGGCCCTGTTCTAGGGAAAAACAAGAATAAACATACTGCCTACCCAAAAGCATTTCGTAAGAGTCGACTAATTTCTTCAAAGTCGAAGTGAATCTGACTGAGAGGCAAGGAACCAACCGTCCGCACACAGATTGCTCAGATCTGTCAAACGGATGCACACGCAACACTCAAGTTCTGGAACTGGACTACAGTCCAAAAGTTGACGAACAACTAGAACTTTCCGCCAGAGTTGACCGCTGCTGAGGCGAATAAAAAGAAGACGACTAAGCAGATGAAGGCGGTGTTCAAAGTTTCATTTCTTTGGCACAAGAACTGACTGCTTCAGCCTGGAAATACTTAGGACATAAAGAGTTAAAATGAGTATATCTTCAGTTAAAGTAACTGCCAGCTGGTACTGCAAGAGTTAAGAAACACCGTACCTGACAGAAACTGTTAGGTTTGAGATTTATTCAACTGATCAACATAATGGCTTAAGGGTAGTAATTTATAAGTGCTCCTTTCAACTTCTTTTTTTTTTTTTCTTCGGTAAAATCTGGCGGCAAGTTCTGGTTGTTCATCCACTTTTGGACTGCAATCCTGTTCCATAACCTGAGTGTAGCATGTGCATCCGTTTTACAAATCTGACATTTGAATCCTGAGTCCGAAGAATCTCAGCACACTGCACGAACTCCGAAGCACCGACAAGGATCCTGAAATACTTTGGGTAGATTTTGTTACTCTAAATTTACCCTAGCAGGGCCGTTAGGCTACTATTTTCGATTTCAAACAGCTAAGATATTTTTTTACGTGTGCAACAATACACACAGACATCCGATCTTACTACCCAGAGACCAGGGGAAATTACTAGAAGTTCACGTGAAACAAATCGACGCCTTCACCGGGGACCGAACCCAGGACCTCCAGCACTCGAGACGGACGCCATGCCTCGAATCTAGTCAGCCCCCAACAAAGACTGTTGGAGATCCGTTACCCGCCAACGGTAACTACGAAGGCGAATTTGAACGATGGTGTCCAGCAGGGGAAACTAATCTTCAGTAGAAGGATGTTTATTGGAGTTGTCAGCACTTGTCTACAAGTTAAACATTTTGCCTTCGATAGCAACTGTATCCTTATCGGAGTTTAATAGTCGTGCCTTCAGAGTAGATAGTTAACTAAACTCAACCAAAGGTTTGGCTACAGTCAGCAGTAACTAATGGCTGAATTTCTTCAGATGTTTGGATCGGTGGGTGTTTGTAAGTTTCCCAGTGTGTGTGCGTCCGTGTCAGAGTGTTTGTATGTAATGTGTATGTGCATTTGCATGCGTGTGTTTTTGGCAATACTGAAATAACAACAGTAAACAACAATTAGCATACTAGAAAACAAAATTAAGAGACAATGAATATATGTAAATGATGATGAAAATAATATTCAGAAAAAGAAGAAGAAGAAGAAGAAGAAGAAGAAGAAAAAGAAGAAGAAGAAGAAGAAGAAGAAGAAGAAGAAGAAGAAGAAGAAGAAGAAGAAGAAGAAGAAGAAGAAGAAGAAGAAGAAGAAGAAGAAGAAGAAGAAGCAGAAGAAGAAGAAAAAGAAGAAGCAGAAGAAGCAGAAGAAGAAGGAGAAGAAGATGCAGAAGAAGAAGAAGAAGAAGAAGAAGAAGAAGAAGAAGAAGAAGAAGAAGAAGAAGAAGAAGAAGAAGAAGAAGAAGAAGAAGAAGAAGAAGAAGAAGAAGAAGAAGAAAAAGAAGAAGCAACAGCAACTAAACTATTTCACACGTTTAATTTAGTATCCTCAGTCTGTTTTATTTTCTTTCAGAACTTGGTCACAAATTCCGACTTTGTTGACGTCACTAAAAAGCTAGTTAAACTTGAGAGGAGAAAAACACCCGCCGGATAAAACTATCAAAGTTGTCCGAACCGATTAGCTACAGGTTGCTGAGCAGCAGACACTAAAACAACACAAACTAATATTTCACTTTCCGTAACCAGTAAGGTCTGAGTGAGAACGACTACACTGATACAAAACGTCTGTGGGAAGTAGTTTGTACACGGACACATTTCACAACATATCAGTTATTTACACTTTCTTAATCCCCAAGTGGGTTTATAGACCTTCTTCCTTTCTTCTTTCGCCTTTCTAACCCCCAATGGAGCATAGGCCCTCAACCAACTCACCTCAAGCCGTTCTATCCTTCGCTATCGCATGCAGCTCTCATCATTTCATCCCCATCTTTTAACTTTACTTTCTAGCTCCTTTTTTGTTTGGTCTTACTTTATTTCTATGCCCCTGTGGGTTTCAGTGCAAAGACATTCTAGTTTTATTGTTCTCAGGTTGTCTCAACTGGTGTACTTTCTATCGCCAGCGACTTTTCTTCACTTCTTGGTCCACGATGAAAACTTTCTGCCGGTGAATGCGAAGCAGAAAAGAAGAAGAAGAAGAAGAACACGCATGTCACAAGAGGCGACTAATAAAATGTTTTCTGAAATCGTATGAGTGTGGCCT